ATTGGTAAGTGTACATTAATGGTGTAGAGTATTGGTGAGTGTACAGTATTGATGTAGAGTATTGGTGAGTGTACAGTATTGATGTAGAGTATTGGTGAGTGTACAGTAATGATGTAGAGTATTGGTAAGTGTACATTAATGGTGTAGAGTATTGGTGAGTGTACATTAATGGTGTAGAGTATTGGTGAGTGTACATTAATGGTGTAGAGTATTGGTAAGTGTACATTAATGGTGTAGAGTATTGGTAAGTGTACATTAATGGTGTAGAGTATTGGTGAGTGTACATTAATGATGTAGAGTATTGGTGAGTGTACAGTATTGATGTAGAGTATTGGTGAGTGTACATTAATGATGTAGAGTATTGGTGAGTGTACAGTATTGATGTAGAGTATTGGTAAGTGCACAATAATGGTGTAGAGTAATGTTAATTCATATTTTTTGTATCTAAGGTTTGTGTGTTTTGTATCTATAAACATCTATCTATAACTTTTTCTTTTTTTTAACCATCAAACAGACACTTTCTTCATCTCTGAGTTCAAGGCTGTTATGTAATCCTCTAGTTCTTTTTTTTATTATATCTGTTGCTGATCAAGTTGTTTTTTAACTATCATTTTTATGACCTATTAATTTTTAACTCACCTGTTGCTAAGCCTAACTAACTAACTAACCTAGCCTTATTTTTTGTACAAAGGTTCTTGCAAACCTGGTTATACTATAATTTTTGTTGATTTGTTTATATTTAGTTTTTATTTCCCACTTGTGCGTTACTAACGAAGTTATTTTGTAATTTCTAACTTACTGGCCAGTTGTATCTTTTTGATTATTTTGTCATCATATGTTGATGAAGAAGTTTTTATTTTTCACCCAATGTTTGTGTAGGTTATTGCCAAGCTATGAATATCGTGGCATCGGTGTTGCTATTGTATGCCTCGGAAGAAGAAGCTTTTTGGTTATTAGTCGCTCTTTGTGAGAGACTCTTGCCTGACTACTACAATACAAAAGTTGTTGGAGCACTGATAGATCAAGGTTAGTTGTGAAGAAATCTTTAAACTTACCATTGATATGCACTTCAGTTAGAAATTATTATCATTAAATGTTTTTCTAAGTAATTGAAAATTTGCATAATTAGAGAATTTTGGTTAAGCAAATTAAGACCAGGAGAATAATTAATATTGACCTTATTTCTTGATCGATTATCTTATTCTTAATTTTCATGAGGACAGGTCAACTGAACTTGTGAGATTTATTCTTTTCATATCTAGATGTTGCAAGTTCTAAAAGTAAGGCTCCGTTAGATAAAACAAAAGGTCTTTATCAGAACTTGAAAAATTAAATAATTTAATCTCTCTTGTGTAAAGTTAAATGTGCACTGAAAATATCAGAGCTTTCAAACCTTAATCACTATCCTTGTTCGAACAAAAGTCCAAGTCGTGCAATGGAAGCTTTATCAGAACTTGAAAAATTAAATAATTTAATCTTTCTTGTGTAAAGTTAAATGTGCACTGAAAATATCAGAGCTTTCAAACCTTAATCACTATTCTTGTTCGAACAAAAGTCCAAGTCGTGCAATGGAAGCTTTGTAATGGTTACATCACAGTACAGTCTCAGTTTACTGTAGATTTACCCCGTTAATAGATAACATTTCAATAAACATGACCCCAGTTTTAGAATCTACAAATTCAAATAATGCCTCCAGTAAGATTCCCCTAGATAATAATAACTTCATTGTCAGAATGTCTCAATCCCTTGAGTATTACAGAGTCTGGAAAACAAATTTTTTTTTTTCATATACACAAGTTACACACCTAGAGTTTGGTAAACCAGCTTTCCTTGACCAGTGTTACTAAAGCATGTGAGTGATAAATGGACTAAATTATGAGAAATGAATATTCCACTTCTTACACACAAGTATTGTAAGATTAGGAAAAACAACAAACTAATGACCGTGTGACACTCTTTAATAGTTCTTGTACTGCTTGCCCGGAGAAAGCTGAAATGGTGAAACACTGGTCATTTCTTCCAGTCATTTGAAGGAATGGGGTGATCAGGGGTTTTATTCCTTTCATTGGAGATGCTATAAGAATTTTGCTGAAAACTTTTACTGCTGAAATTTCTGTTTGTTATCTAGGTTTCTTTTTTAAAAGGCACCCACTTATGAAAAATATTTGTACTGTTGTCTAGGTGTTTTAGAAGACCTCACAAAAGACCACCTGCCAGATCTCTATCAGAAACTTGAACCATTAGGAATTCTTTCAATGATCTCTTTATCATGGTTCCTCACAATTTTTTTAAGGTATGCTGTCTATTAAATTTAGCAAGTAATAGTAATGCAGTGTATTTGTTAACCCTAGTTTGTGCTGACTTATCATGCCAAAGTCGTCGTACGGTAAGCTTTTCTACTTGTACATACTTCTCAATACATTCAGGCTGATCTTTTGAAATTTTCATATTTTTGAGACAGGTCATTGCTCTTAATTTTTATTGATTCAGAATAATTGTGTATAAACACTGAAAACTTTAGCTTAACAAACAATATTCCTAAGAATGTTTAACTTTGAAAGGAAAACTAATTAATCTTTAAAGTTTTTTTCTGTGCAATTTGATCAACAGTGCCATCAGAAGTGGCTTTTTAAGGTTTCTCACATTACATTCTGGTTACAAACCACATTATCAATTTGCTTATAGGTTTTGTAAGAATTTAACTGTTTGCTACGTAATGGACCATATGTGACCTATTGGTTAGCATGCTGGCTGTTGATTTGACTTCCTATTTCTACAAACAAAAAACTGAAGTTTGGGGCTGTGGGGGTTGTTACAAGAATGATGGTCAAATCCCAATATTTGATTAGAGTAGCCTAAGAATTGACAGTGGGGGCTTTTTATTAAATGCCTTCCCTCTATTCTATCACTTCAAAAATAGAAATGGCTTGTGCAGATAGCCACTGTATAGCTTTGTGTTAATATCTGAAACAAATAAATACTTCTTAATCCACATTAAGCATTCATATATGTAGTATAGAAACATGGAGTGCTTTGTTGTAATCTAAACTAATTCTAATATATGTACTGAACTTCATTGTCTTTTACAAACTACAAACTTGTACGCACGTTTTCTTGTTTTTTACGAATACTAATTTTAAATAATTGTGAGATTTCCTTTTCCTTTACTTCTCTAGATTAATATAAAATAAAATGTGTTGTTTTTGCTCAGAAAATAAAACAGTATTGTCCAATAACCACTAAAGCTTCCTGTCCATTGAAACATTTTTTTTTAAGTTTAAATATTTTTGCTCATCATACATTGTGCAAAACTAACTGTGATGCTTCAATAACTATTCTTAAAAAGAAACTTGACAGGTCAGCGTGCAGGTTAAAATGGTTTACCGTAAACCAAAGTGTTCATACACCTTTGTAGTTTGTTATCTTTGCAGACCTTACCTCCCTCTCTTCCTCGTTGAAAACTTAATGTAGCACATTATGTCAATATGTTTCACAACCACTGTCATTACAACCAAATGTTAGGAATCTGTACAAACTGAAACCAGAAGAACCTTTTTTTTTTAAACATTAATGTGTTTCAACAAGGGTTTAAAGAGAAAATTAATACCTAAATATGAACATTTCATTTACAATGAATCAAAATGTATTGGTGGTTTCTGTATTTACAGTTGTTAGGCCTAATTTTGATGCATGTTGCAAGTTAAGCTGACCAACAAGTATCAAAAAATTCTGCTTGTACATCACTCTGCTGCAATACTAGGCCTAACCAACATCACAATTGTGATGTTTAGATACTTGTCAATTAGCTTGACTTGAAAAAATTCTGCTTGTACATCTAAGCATCACAATCGTGATGTTGGTTAGGCCTAGTGTTGCAGCAGAGTGCAAGTCAAGCTAATTGACAAGTATCAAAAGATTCTGCTTGTACATCTAAACATCACAATTGTGATGTTGGTTAGGCCTAGTATTGCAGCAGAGTGCAAGTCAAGCTAATTGACAAGTATAAAAAGATTCTGCTTGTACATCTAAACATCACAATTGTGATGTTGGTTAGGCCTAGTGTTGCAGCAGAGTGCAAGTCAAGCTAATTGACAAGTATCAAAATATTCTGCTTGTACACCTAAACATCACAGATTTATTTGTTTACATAAAAAAATGCACTCCAGTATTTATTACCTTTAACTTTTGAGCAGTTAATACAGATTTTAAAATTTGTTTTACATTATTTTTTTTAATTAAGTTTCAGTAATATTTATTTGTTTATCATTTGTTGTTGTTATAACACTTGGGGTTTAAAAGTTTATTGTGCATTACAATACTTGGTGTATAATATAACACTTGATGTTTAAACTGTTATATGTTGTGTGTTATAACACATGGATTTTATATTTTTATTTGTTTTGTGTTATAACACTTGATGTTTATAATATAATGCTTAATGTGTATAATATTTGCTGTGTATTATAATGATTAGGTTTTGTATTTTTATTTATTGTGTTATAATACTTGATGTTTATAACACTTAATGTGTATAATATTTGCTGTGTATTATAATGATTAGGTTTTATAATTTTATTTGTTGTGTATTATAATACTTAATGTTTATAATACTATAACACTTAATGTGTATAATATATGCTGTGTATTATAATGCTTAGGTTTTGTAATTTTATTTGTTGTGTGTTATAATACTTGATGTTTATAACACTTAATGTGTATAATATTTGCTGTGTATTATAATGATTAGGTTTTATAATTTTATTTGTTGTGTATTATAATACTTAATGTTTATAACACTTAATGTGTATGATATTTGCTGAGTGTTATAATGATTAGGTTTTATAATTTTATTTGTTGTGTTATAATACTTGATGTTTATAACACTTAATGTGTATAATATTTTCTGAGTGTTATAATGATTAGGTTTTATAATTTTATTTGTTGTGTGTTATAATACTTAATGTTTGTAATATTCTAGATATTTAATGTTTTGGAATTATTTTTAAACAACATTTTCAGATAGTGAGGCATTACTTTTAAATTATTGGAATTCATACCTTAACCAATGAAACATTTAAGGAATTTTGCTTAAATATGTGATATGTGGTTTAATAACTGTCTGGAGTGTGTTTCATTAGTCAGTTAAATACACATCAAGTAAAATTATCAATACATTGTTTTATTTGTACATATTCAAGGCATAGTTCTTACACTTGTTGGTATTTGTGATGCATATTATTAATGTAGTGAACTGTTAGTTAAATAATTATATTGGTGAAGAGCAGTTAACTGTTGTGTTGAATGTATTAATGTACCGAGTTATTAGTGAACTGTTAGTTAAATAATGTATATTGGTGAAGAGCAGTTGTGTTGAATGTATTAATGTATTGAGTTGTTAGTGAACTGTTAGTTAAATAATATATATTGCTGAGGAGCAGTTGTGTTGAATGTATTAATGTATTGAGTTGTTAGTGAACTGTTAGTTAAATAATTATATTGGTGAAGAGCAGTTAACTGTTGTGTTGAATGTATTAATGTATTGAGTTGTTAGTGAACTGTTAGTTAAATAATGTATATTGGTGAGGAGCAGTTAGATATTTTGTTGAATGTATTAATGTACATTCAGTACATTTATTTTATTATTTTATAGTGTGATGCCGTTTGCCTCTGCTGTCAGCATAGTGGATTGTTTCTTTTTTGATGGTGCAAAGGTAGGATTTAGTGTTGAAAGATCTAGTAACAGATAGATTCAATGTAATTGATACTTACAACTGAACTTTGACATTTCTTTCTAACAACAAAACTCTGTCGAGTCACTTAAAGAAATAAACATTTTGATCAGCAGAGTATTTAAAAGAATGAAATATAATTTTAGATATGTTGGATTATCCTTTAATGCAACTCTTGGTATATATATATACACATCTAATTAACTGATCTACTTTTCTGTGGTAGATATAGATATATATATATATACACATCTAATTAACTGATCTACTTTTCTGTGGTAGATATAGATATATATA